GGCAAAGTCCAGCCAATAGGGATCTCCTGATTGTCTTTTTTTTTTTTCAATTGGTTTGTAATTTTTAAAAAAGATTTATTTATTTATGCATACAAGAACTGGGGGATAGGCCAGAGGTGTGGAGGAGGTGAGAGGATTCACCAGAGACAGGGAATGAGCAGAACAGGTGGACTTTGAACTAGCCATTTCTTTTTTTTTTTTCTTCTCCTCTTCCATGGAAGGATGTAGCAATCTCTAGGCAAAGTCCAGCCAATAGGGATCTATTGTTTTTTTTTTTTTTCAATTGGTTTGTAATTTTTTAAAAAGATTTATTTATAGGGGGGGAGGGATTGGGGTCAAAATAAAGGGGTTGCAATTGCTTGGGGAATATAAAAATAAAAAAATTAAAATAAAAAAATAAAAGATTTATTTATTTATGCATACAAGAACTGGGGTCTAGGCCAGAGGTGCGGAGGAGGTGAGAGGATCCACCAGAGACAGAGTAGGAGCAGAACAGGCAGATGTACTGAAATACACTCTCTGCTGCACCATGTGAGTCACCTCACTAGCCTGGGATCAAAATTGTGCTGCATTGGCTGGGGATAGCTTGGCAGGGCTGTTAACCCTTGCGCCACCAGGGAGGCCCTGGTTTGGAATTCTTTATATATTTTTCATAAAAGTTCCTTATGAGATATAAATACCTGTCTGTGGCTGGATTAATGTCAATAAGGTCCTATTTATAATTGGTGATTCTTTTGTTCCATTTAAGAAATCTTTGTTTCCTCCAAATCATGAAAATATTCTCCTTTATTCTTTAAGCTTTTCACATTTAGATCTATAATTGGTGTGAGTGCTGTGGGCTAGTGGTCTAGTTTCTTTCTTTTTTCTTGTCTTGTCCAAATCTCAACTGAGATTTTCAGTGAAATCTTTTTTGGGGACTCCTCATATTATTGTTGCTAGGAATGAAACCTGATGCAACCAGGCCTCCCTGGTAGCATAGGGATTAGTCTCAGCACTATCACCACCATGGCCTGAGTTCGATCTCCAGCCAGGGAGCAACCCACATGACGAGCAGACCTTTCCTGTCTCAACCGCTGCTCCCCTCAGCAGTGTATTTCAGTCAATCCGCCTGTTTTGCTCCCCACTGTCTCTGTTGAATCCTTTTACACCCCCCCCCGCCCGCACCTCTGACCTATACCCCAGCTCTTGTATGCATAAATAAATAAATCTTAAAATAAATAAACAAACTTCTTAAGACACAGTCTTTGAAAAAAAAAGAAAACTGTTCGGTATGGTGCGTTAATCTCACAGTCTTCGTTGTGGAGATGGCTTCCAAGTATATACATCTGTCAGTGTATTAAAATGTATATTTTACATGTGTGTAGTATGTGTCATGTATACTCAACAAAGTTATGAGCAATTCACTGTAACACTCTTAAAGAGAAGGGCATATCCTTAGTGTAGCAATTTTATTCCTAGAAATGTTTTCTTCACAAACACCAAGGGGAAGCATGTACAGAGGCCTTCCTGCAGCATCCTTTGATTCAGTCAACTTGTATTTATTGAATGCCAGTGATGTCAGTCACTGGCTAGACAATGGGTTATAGGCATAAGTAAGATGAACAGGGTCTCTGCCCTCATGACACCAATTATATTTGCCGGTGGTAAAAAATAATAAGTAAAACAGACTCTACTACAGTTGTATTTTCCTATTCAACAACAGGAAAATGGTTAAAGAAATGATGGTACAATTAAATGTTGGTCTCTCCAAAGCTAGTATAAATGTAAATATATATATATATATATATATACACATTAATATATATATACACAGGAAAAGAGGTTGTGGCTTGTAGGAGGCAAATATATGAAGTTGTGGGTCTGGAAAGGAGAGAAACAAAAACTTCCGGCAGTATTTGAGTCCCTCATACCCCTGGAGTCTATTGTCAGCTGCCCATTTGCCCTTTCAGAGATTTATTTTATTAGTCAAATAGATGACCCTTTTTGCCCATATTAGTAAGAGTTGAGATTCACAATCCATCAACAGATGCATAAACATAATGTAGTATAGACAAACGATAGGATGTTCTTTGAGTTTAAAAGGAAAGGAGGGGGGCCTCCCTGGTGGTGCAAGGGGTTAAGATGCAACCTATGAAGCTATCGGCAGCCACTGCAGCAAGAGTTCGATCCCTAGCCAGGGATCAACCCACATGGCACAGCAGACCTCTCCTGACTCACCTGTTCCTCCCCTCAGCAGTGTATTTCAATTAATCTGCCTGTTCTGTTCCCCACTCTGTCTCTGGTGACTCCTCTCACCCTCCCCCTAACCCCTCCGCCCACACCTCTGGCCTGTACCCCATCTTTTGTATGCATATAGAAAATATAGAAAGAGAGAAAAAATCTTCATGCTGCAAAGACTTTATAATAGCAGAATTTGAAACATTCCTAAGTAGAAGAATGATCACATTATGGCTTAGTAGTTTAAAATAGATCACTATAATTGGTAAAACAATATGGAAAGTGCTTACAGCACATTTAGTGAAAAAAATCATGACACAAAATTTTATCACTATTACAAAGATTTTTTTAAAATAGACCACATGCATTATTATCATATGACCCAATATTCCCCAGACAAATGAAAACTTAAGTACACATCAAAACTCGTATGTAAATGTTCTCATTATTGAAAACAGCCAAAAAAGTAGGAACACCCCAAATGTCCATTAACTCATAAATGGAGAAACGAAATGTGGCACGTCCATACAATGGAATATTATTTGGCAATTAAAAAAACCACAGCAATGAGATACACCACCATATGGGTGACCTTGAAAGCACTGTACTAAGTGAAAGTGAAGGAAACCAGACACAAAGGAAACATATCATTCCATTTATTTCAAATATTCAAAACAATCTACAGAGACAGAAAATAAATTAGTGGTTGCCTGGGTTGGGGCTGGGTTGTTGGGGGAAATGAGGAGTGTCTGTTAATTAGTATGAGGTTTCTTTTGGGAATGATAAAAATGTTTTAAAATTCGTTGTGGGCCTCCCTGGTGGTGCAAGGGGTTAAACATCACACTATGAAGCAATCCACAGCCTCTGCAGCATGAGTTCCAACCCCGGCCAGCCAGGGAGCAACCTACATGGCGAGGCCGCTGCTCCCCTCAGCAGTGTATTTCAGTCTATCTGCCTGTTCTGTTCTCCACTCTGTCTTTGGTGAGTCCTCTCACCCCCCATACCTCTGGCCTGTACCCTAGCTCTTGTACGCATAAATAAATGAATCTTAAAATAAATAAATAAATAATATTGGTTGTGGTGATGCTACACACTGAATATACTAAAAAATGCTTTAAAAATGAATTGTAGGGCCTCCCCGGTGGCGCAGCGGTTGAGCGCTGGGTTGCGAAACTGCCCGCGGCCTCTGCAGCGCCGGTTCGATCCCCGGCTGCTCCCCGGCCACCGGAGGAGGGTCCCACATGGTGCGCAGACCTCTCCTGCCGCCCGCTGCTCCCCTCAGCAGTGTACTTCGGTCCTTCTGCCTGCTCTGCTCCCCGCTCTGGCTCTGGTGAATTCACTCACCCTCCCGCGCTTCTGACTGTACCCAGTGCTTGTAAAAATAAACAAACAAATAAATAAATAATAAATCTTAAAAAAAAAAAAAATGAATTGTATGTGATTGTATCTCAACAAAACCATTATAGGTTTTTTTAATTGGAGGAAAACTAAATGACTTTGAGGAAGTGGGATTACGGGTGATTAAAATAGACTTTTCTGTTGTTATGTTACTTTTGTAGGGATAAATAAGTCCTTTCTAAAAAGCACGGGGTGAGGGGGGCCTCCGTGGTGGCACAGGGGTTAAAGACACAGCCCTATCAAGTGATGGCCAGCCACTGCAGCATGAGTTCAATCCCCAGCCCGGGAGCCAACTCACATGGAGCAGCAGACCTCTCCTGTCTGGGCCCACGGCTCCCCTGATTAGTGTATTTCAGTAGATTTGCCTGTTCTGCTTCCCACTCTGTCTCTGGTGACTCCTCTCACCCCCTGCACCTCTGGCCTACACCCCACTTATTATTTATTTAATAAATAAATATTAAAAAAAAAAAGCACTGGGTGGGATGGATATTTCAGAGAATTATTTCATTGTAAATAACCAGCATTACAATCTTTTACCTCTTTGCAGGTGTGAGTTTTATATTTAAGCTTATGTTTCTTAGTCATATATTAACATATTTTCATAAGATATATTTATATATTTTCCATACGTATAGAAACTAGGGTTTGGTCAGGATGAGCGAGCCAAGGATTCAGACATATGGGGGGTGGGTGGTGATGGGAAGGAGACTATGGGGCCAGGTCCCTGTGCGCCCCGGGCCAGGCCCCCACTCCTTCAAGGTAGACCCTCTGCTTGAAAAGTTCAAAGCCCCTTGCGCTTACCCGTCTTAAGCGCCACGCCTACCAGTCTCTTCCTGGTTGTGTCCCCTCTTTTTGGAGGGGTCCCCCCCTCACTTGTGGGCTTAACCCCTCCTCTGGCCGGCGGCGAGGAGGGCGGATGGGGGCGGGTGGTGTCACAGCCCCGGCGGCCGGTGGCCGGGCCCCGCCTCCTCGGGGGGGTCACACACCCCGCGGGGCTCAGCGCCCCCTCACCGGGGCTCACAGCCCCCCCGCGGGAGGGGGTCCGCGGGGGTCGCAGTTTCAGGGTGGTGGCCTCGGGCCGGCCGCGGGAACGCCGGGGCGGGTCCCAGCCTCGCGCGCGGGCCGCCGCGGTCCCTCCCCGGGCCGGCGGCCCCTCCTCCGGAGCCATGCGGCGGGGCCCGGGGTCCCAGAGCTCGGTCCCGCCAGCGCAGCGGGCCGGGCCCGGCGTTTCGGCGCCCGCGGGGTCCGCGCCGGCCGCCCGGCCTCGGCGGGAGGCCGCGAACGCGCCGCCCCCGTCCTCGCCGCCCTCCCATGTCCACTCGTGGGCGCGGCCCGCCAGCCCGGCCCGGGGCAGGTGGCCGCTGCGCCCGGCCGGGTGGCGCGGGATGGCGGCCGGCGGCCTGCTGGGGGCCGGCCTGGCCCGGGTGCTCTTCTACCCGACGCTGCTGTACACGCTGCTCCGCGGGAAGATCCCCGGCCGCGCGCGCCGCGCCTGGTACCACCGCATCGACCGCACGGTGCTGCTGGGCGCGCTGCCGCTGCGGAGCCTGACGCGCCGGGTGAGCCGGGCCGGGAGGCCGCGCCGGGCCTGGGCGCGGGGGGCCGCCGGCCGCGCCGCACCCTTGCTGAGCCCCCTCTTTGCCTCGGCAGCTGATTCAGGACGAGAACGTGCGCGGGGTGATCACCATGAACGAGGAGTACGAGACGCGGTTTCTGTGCAACTCCTCGAAGGTGAGGGGCCCCGGCCGGGGGAGGGGGCGCCGGGGCGGCGGCGCCCACCCTCCCGGGCCTCTGAGGGGCTGAGGGGGGGCGTGGCAGGAGACCGTGCCTCCGAGGTGGGTACCCCAGACTTTTTTTTTTCACCCCCGCACAGAGGAGGGCCTTGGCCTCTTAAGCTGAAAAGACTAGGGCTGGAGGGGGAAACAAATTGTGAAATTGAAACTGATGTGAAAGCTATTCGAACGTAGAGTTGGCAAAGTCTGATGACTCCTTTGTGCACAGATGGGTTAATTCAGTAACTGAAATCTAATCCAAATTGAAAGGCAACTCTTTTATGGCTTGCTGAGTTCATTCAGTCCACTTAGTGAGCACTAAATTTGGATCAGGCGCTGTGTTAAGGTGCTGTAAACTCTAAGAAGAAAAGCTCACCCTCCTTGCCATCTCCAGGCTTAAATTTATCATAAAAACCACTATTCAAAACCTGCATAGGGCGCTGATTTGAGGAAACATGTTAGAGATCAGAGTGGAAGTCCAAAGTTTTATCACAACCAAGTTCAGGCCTAATATAATTTTCATTAAATGTGAATGCTTGAAACTGTCTACAATTGTTATTAGATGTCAGTGTCTATAGTGTTTGATATCTATTAGCACTATACATTTCCTGTTTACTGACATAACTTGAAGATGTTACTATTACAACCTGTAATTTTTTTGCCTCCCTCAACCTGTATTTTAAATCTTAAAAATATGTAACTCACATTAAAAATGTTGATTGGTGATGGCATACCATTTTAAGTAATGGATAACAGTTCCTTGGATTTTTCAACGTACTTGCTACAAGCCTCAGGAGTTATTGGTCAAGCTTGTAAATGTTCCTTTGTGTAGTCAGTGCTATGGGGCAAGAAAAGTACTCTAAATTGCTGGGTCTCTGGGTATGAGGCAGTGACATTTATAAGATTTGGCTGTATCATCCCACTAGCCTAGAAAAAAGAAATCTCCAAGGCCGTGGTTCAAATATTTCAATATGCCTCAAAGTTATCTGACAGTCATGTTAAAATAGCAGATTCCTTGGTACAATCAATCTCCAGAGAGTCTAACTCAGGAGCTTTACGGTGTGGCACAGGAATCTGAATATTTAGCAAGTTTCCAAGTGTAATTAATGCATCAGCCACAAGCGACACAACTGTTTTTATTGTAAATTTCATGAGCAGTATAAAATAACTGACCTTCATTCAGAGTCATAAAGTCTCTGGTTAGAGATAACTGGAGTTAACTGGAGACTATCTGAAGTCTTAAAGCAAAAATAAAGTTGCCCAGGGCCTCCCTGGTGGTGCAGAGATTAAAGTCTCAGTGCTATCAAGCTATCGCCAGCCACTACAACATGAGTTCGATCCCCAGTCAGGGAGCTGACCTACATGGCACAGGCAGACTTCTCCTGTCTTGCCTACTGCTCCCCTCGTCAGTGTATTTTCATTCCTGTTATGCATCTTTCGTAGCTGTATTTTTGTATAGCTAATATTTCGCAGCTAAAGATCCAAATACCCAAACGGTACTTTAAGAACACTGTAAGTCTTAGACTTAATTGTAACTCAGCAGCACAACTGTTCTTTGAAGGCCCGACCATGCAGGTCAGCCATTTTAATGACTTTGTGGAAGATGTTTACTTTTTCAGAAAACAGTGAGCGGTATATTCACAGTCGTAACCCCTGAAGCTTCCTTGTTGCTTTGCTGCTTCTTGAGGGCCATCTTCATACTACTAACTCCAGGCTTTTTTCATTCTCTGGTTCCAGGAGTGGAAAAAAGTAGGTGTTGAGCAGCTGCGGCTCAGCACAGTCGACATGACCGGAATCCCAACCTTGAATAACCTCCACAAAGGAGTCCAGTTTGCTCTCAAGTACCAATCGCAGGGTCAGAGTGTCTACGTGCATTGTAAAGCTGGGCGCTCTAGGAGTGCCACTATGGTAGCAGCATATCTTATTCAGGTAGGAAAGATCTAGAATACTTCAGTCTACCACCAGGCTTTGCTGAAAGAAGCCACGTCCCCTCTTTCAGGCTTGGGAGATGTGGGAGTGTGGAAAACTCCTGAGCTTTGCAGATAGGCTGAACTCTGGCTTTGCCACTTGCCAGTTGTGTGACCTTAGGCAAAAGTAGCTTCCCATCTCTGATTCTGTTCCCTCAAACTAAATTTGTTATGAAGCTTAAATGAGAAATGGTATCAAGCACTGATCTACAGCAGGCTCTCAAAAACTGAAATTGCAAAGGATGTTAACACCAGCAAAAGGCCAGAAGCGTGTTATAAATAGCATGTCAGAAAATCTAGTCCTGTAGACAGTAGTGTTGATCACTTCCAGCTCTACAGTATTCATATTTCTTCAAGTATCTCACAGTAAAGTTCTGGACATTGATTTCTAGAAACAATCCAAATGGAATTTTATCTGTTGTTTAGCTATGATTGGCTGGTGGGATGTTTTAAAAAAATATTTAGAAGCAAATACTCTAGTCTAATATTCCATTATATACTCCCAATTGACTTTTTTTGGTTAAAAGATTTATTTATGCATACACGAGCCGGGGTACAAGCCAGAGATGCGGGGGGTGAGAGGATCCACCAGAGACAGAGTGAGGAACAGAACAGGCAGACTGACTGAAATACACTGCTGAGGGGAGCAGCGGGCTAGGCAGGAGATGTCTGCGTGCCGTGGGTTGCTCCCTGGCCGGCTTCATAGTGTGGTGCTTATTAACCCCTTGTGCCACCAGGGAGGCCCATTTGACTCATTTTTGCCCCTGCAGAACATTTACTAGGTCATGCTGTGGATGGTTTAAGGAAAAGGGAAATATAATCAGCCTGACCCTCTTGTGTTACTGTGGACTGGATTTAACAGTACCGAAGCTCTGGTCATTAGGAACGTCTGCCTGGAAACAGGGTCTAAGGAGATTTTGTGTTGAGTGAGAACTGAACGGCAGGCTAGAAATCTATGTTTTCTTGAGTTTTAAACCAGTAAGTATCCTTGGGACACAAAGATAACCCTTCTCATTAAAGTATAAAGTGCGGGCCTCCCCGGTGGCGCAGCAGTTGAGCTCTGGGTTGTGAAGCTGCCCGCAGTCTCTGCTGCGCCAGTTCGATCCCCGGCTGCTCCCCGGCCACCGGAGGAGGGTCCCACATGGCGCGCAGACCTCTCCTGCCACCCGCTGCTCCCTCAGCAGTGTACTTCGGTCCTTCTGCCTGCTCTGCTCCCAGCTCTGGCTCTGGTGAATTCTCTCACCCTCCTGCGCTTCTGACTGTACCCAGTGCTTGCATAAATAAATAAAAATAAATCTTAAAAAAAAAATTTCTTAAAAAAAAAAAGTATAAAGTGCTTTTTCTAGCTATGAATACAAGTTACATAAAAACACCTGTACAGTTTTGCAGGAAAATCTTATTACCCGTGGTTCAGCTCGAAGACCATCTAGTAGCTCTAGACAAGCCCAGCTTAGTTTCCCACATTCAGCCTAAAACAATTAAGAAAAGACTGAAAGACTGACTTGTTTCTCCTGGCCTGTTGCACAGCATAGTGAGACAAATTGACTGAGTGGGCATTCCTTATAATTTATGTGAGGGGCATGGTTTTTAACTACCCCCTGACATTGGAGTTTTATTACAAAAAATAAAAAAGATTCTGAGAGCCCTAGCACCTGCTATTAGGTCAAGGACACCTTCACTCCTCCTCCTTTCTTTCTCTGCTGATTTCCCAACTCTGTATTACTTCAGGTGAACAAATGGAGTCCAGAGGAGGCTGTAAAAGCTATCAGCAAGATCCGGTCCCACATCCACATCAGACATGGCCAGATGGAAGTTCTCAAAGAGTTCCACAAGGAGATTACTGCAAAGGCAGCAAAGGAGGAGACTTATCACACATCACAGACATGAAGCACATGGAAAGAAAGAAGACAACCCCGCTCGCTACAGAAAAAGTTTAACAGGACCACGGGAACTTAAACTCAGACTTAACAGAAGTATGCTAAGTAATGGATAGTCGCCCTCCCTTTGTCGTTTCATTTTTCTGAAATAACACTGTTTATGGCTAGAAAGGTTTAGCATGGCTTCACTTCATGGGGTATGAAGATAAGAGGCAGGGATGGACACTTAGTGAATAGGGTCAAAGAAATCTATCGCACACTTAATATGGTATGTAATGGTGTTTAGCACCGTAATTCAAAAGCATTCAACACCAGGAAAAGAGGGGACATGCTGGGCTTTGGCTCCTTACCACTGCCAGCGCCCCAACTCAGCGGTGCCCTCCTTTCCAGCTCTCATTTTTGATCTCTCAGCAGTGATCCCCTATGTGGAAACGTATGGGATTCAATCGGTATTGCTGCTGACTTAGAAATGTGAGGATAAGTAGTTTCCCTTCAGAAGTCATCTCTTCAGAATTCAAAACACACACACATATCCCTTCAAAAACTTTTATTTGTATGAACAGTTCTTAGCTCTTGACTTAATTAGAGCTATTTAAAGAGTAGAGACCTTTATGTATTGAATTTGAAAAAAGTTTCTGCTATTAATCAGAAATAATCCTTTCTACTTCTTTCTGGCTTACCCCTTGGAGTTAGCCAAAAATAAAACCAAAGTATATGTTTCCTGACGATATATGACAAAACAAGAGACAGAATATTCTGTATTCTAGAGTTGACTGTTGCTGGTGAAGGACACCTTCAGCTTAGTCCATTCTCCCACCAAAGCCTGAAGGAAAACGCTTAACACCTAATTCTTTGTGGAAAAATTACCAACTAGCCACTTTGCAGGCTATAGAAAAAAAGGAAGACTGGGCATCTTTTCTCCTTCCTTGGGATGGGGATGGGGATGATTCTATTTAACATTGATCAGGTAAAGGGGGAGGGTGTGCCCAAGGTCTAAAGAGAGGCTTGCTTGCTCTAAGGAATCTGTAGTGAGGCACAGGCTGACCAGGGGGTGGCAGAGAATAGGCTGGCCTACTCAGTGCAAGCAGCCAGCTCAGCAGCAGCAGTCTAAAAAGCCCCAACAGATACTTCTATGGGTTCAGGGAAGGGGTAAGGTGCTGCTTTTCTAACATGTGCCCCCCAAAACCATAGTATTCTGAATCGGGACTTGGTATTGGATGGGTTGGTGCTGAAAAAGGGAAAGAGGGCAAGTCAGCCGCTCTTTGCACACTGCCTTAGGCCAACACAAACTGCAAATTGGTAAGCAGCACCTTAATGCCTCTGGTGACAGTTATGGCTGAAGTGGCAGGGTCAAGCTTGTAGGTGTTAGCATCCCCTTTTTATATCGGTCCCGAAAAACATAGATGCTCCCATTACAACTGGCGATCTTCCAGAGGGATGGGGCAGAGCTCCAGGCCTCAGGAAGGCAAAGCCGCGTAAAGCTGTCTAGCATGGGATTGTAGCATACCAGGGAGTCCCCTTCAGCCACGATGAATACCAGGTCCTTATGCACAGCTGCATGCATGCGGCCAGCGAAGGGCAGCACATAGGGCTTCACATGGCACTTGTCTGTCTCTGTGTCAAAACACTGAATGAGTCGGGATGGTTTGGTAAAGAAGTCCAGATCATTCTCCTCCCCCCCTAGTAAGTAGATGATCCCATTGAGGTTGGCACCAGCAGCTCCTGACACAGCCACCTCTAGCTGGGTTGTCTCAGTCCAGACATTATCACCTACCCGATAATAGATAACTGCATTGGAGAGGGTATCCTGCAGTGTCTTGCCACCCAGTGAATATATAGCATCTTTCCCAGGCACAGACACCAGGGTGTGCTGGAGCCGGTCCCGAGGCAATGGTGCACACCACTCCCAGTCCACAGTAGCATTGTTGCACTTCCACATGCGCCGTGGGATGGACCCTCCCACCACATACAAGTCTCCGCCATGCTTGCAGGCCGCAGTGATCTGGTGGCACAAGCTGTTTTGGCCACTTACACTGATGGAGTCATCTTCAGCACAGTGTAAAGACACAGCCAACGAGTGAGTACGAGATGACTCTTTCCCGATCAGGTAAATGTGCACATTCTCCCCAATTTCCTATTGGCAAAATTAAAGTTATAAATGGTATCTATCCCTTCTAGGTCAAGGCTCAGCTGAAATGCATATCCTTAAGTTTCTGGACCACACTCTTACTCTAACCTGCTTCCTTCTAATCACCATAATCTTCCAATTGCTTTCTTTCACGCATTTTATGCTAGGGTAGATAGCCTGTTGCATTCATCCTTCCAGCTTAAAAAAAAAAAAAAATCAGGAGCTAGTGCTTTAGACAAAAGGTTGCTTAGGATTATTAATGCAGTTCTCAAGGAGCTTTAGAGTAGAGAGGTTGGCAGTTTCTGGCTTCATGCGTGAGTCTTCCTCCCCACCTCTTATCAACTTCAAACCAGAGACAACTTACTCACCAGTTACTAAAGAGGACAGACCTATAGACAGCTGGAATGTGTGGATACTATGATGTCCCAACCCAAGAAATCTGCCTTACCTTCAAACTAGTCCTAAGTGACTCTGCAAACGCCTCTCTTTCTTCTTTATTAAAATTGATCCAGGCTTCTATTGCCTCTGTTGGGTTCTGGGAACATGGAACTCCATCTGTGAGAGCCAAAGGAAAAGCATGATCAATGGCAGGTCAACAATCAGAAAGGGAAATTTAGAGCCGAGGGCTTTAAAGACGTGAATCACTTTGTTAGACTACCACGATGGACACATGTGTAGGAGGAATTTACCTACAGTTGCCCTGTTTCTTTTAATCAAAATGGATGGTTTGATATATTCCCAGTTGCCAATCTGAGCTGCAAAACTCAGACCGAAAGTATGATTAGACCATGCAGGGTCAGGGTGGTTACTTAAAGTTGGTCTATTATTTAAAATATTCCTGATTAGTTATCTTGACTCATCATCAAATTACTTGGGTAGCTCATCCCTTATGTATATATAAAGTATAAAACAAATGAGGACACTTATGCACAGCAGAAGTTTGAATATAAATAGCTCCTCACTACATTTTGTGGATCAATGCTGCTGCTTTTATTTTGTTGGCTTCTTCCTCTGTGACTCTGACAAACAGCTATACTAAATCTCAACTCATTCTCAGAAAGTGACTACATTTATTATAGGGAATAATACCAGGAAGCCTGAGGGTTCCTTTCAGGCTTTCCCCTGTAGGTGCCATACCCAAGCAGCTGGATATGATGCGCCCTCCCCCTCAACTTACCGGAGATGATATCAGTGAGTAGATGGTGGGGTAAGTGAAGAAATTCCTCTGTGCTCTGCAGCTGGGCCAGATGGGCCTTGGCACAGTGCTTGGCAGCAGTGTAGAGCTCGGGATCACTGTGCCGATCTGCTAGCCACATCACCTGAAGGCAGTTCCCCACCTGCACTGTGCGGGCCAAAAACCTCGAACATTCCTCAAAGAGAGATGTCAGCTGATACATGTCTGACACCTCATAAATTTCCTGCAGCTCATCAGCTCGAAGTTTCACAGTTCCATGGTAGATATAATCAACCAGGAGCTGGAAAACGGACTCACTGACATCCTGCAGCACAATCACCCGGTTGTGGGCCTCCTTCAGGTTGGAAGTGAACATGGACCGGAAGAAGCAGCTCTGAGCTGAGAGGACCAGCCGGTGGAGTTGAAACTCCCGGCCTTCCACTGAAATAGTGACATCAGCAAAGAGCTCTTCCTCCAGGCACAGTTTCATGATGCCCTGAGCTACACGGCCTGAATGTGACCGATCTTTGAAAGTGTAGTTCACAAAGTAGTTCTCATCCATGGATGCTCCAGGCTCCTCTGGTGATTCCATGGTAGCCATCTTCTCTCTCTGCCAGCTGTCTGCAATGCAACACTACCCTGAGTAATTCAGGGAATCCACAGCCACTGTATAAGAATCCAACTGGCCAATTCAGGGAGGGAGGAGGGAAAAGTGAGAGCAAAGTGGGGGACTTTTCTGATGCTCTCCTTCAACATAGTTGGGTTCACTCTCCTGTGGCGGAACCCCATCCCTAATTAAATCAATAAACGTTCCTGTTTGGGTGCTTCCCTGAGAAAACACAGGCTATTCCTTTCTACGATACAATAAAAGACTTGGTATTTATGTCAACACATGAAAGAAAGCAAGGGACTGGAAAAAGCCTATAATTTTAAAAATCTGGCAAAAAGACTTACTAGCCAAATAACTCTTGGGCATAAAACTAGTGACGCTCGAGGATGCAAACTGCCCCCAGTCCCGCCTCCGTGGAGTCCATACCTTCCAATATTAGGCTTGGCCTGGGGCATCAGGCAGCCCCAAATTTGCTCTTCGCAGAGCTTTCCCCCACTCGCTCTAATGACTGCCCAAGACTCTGTCCCAGAATTTGAAATAGATACCAGCCGTCCTCAGTGAGGGGCACGCGGAGGCCTGTTGCCACGTGCAGCGTCGCGCTCACCCGGAGTCGTCTGGGAAACAGTCGCCAGGGAGACCGTTCTTCCCCTCCCCCCGCCGGCACGCTCGCTCCCGCCCGCCGGCCTTCGTCCAAAGCTTGGTTTAAGCAACGGGGAAGGGGCGTGGAATGTGGGATCCAGAGTCCCCGCCCCGTCTCCTCTCTCACCCGTCCGGTTCTTTAGGGTCCTCGCCTTCTTTCCAGCCTCTGGCACACCAAACTAGGGCCGCGTTCACCTCACGGTTTCCCCACCTGCCTGCCTCGCTTTCTCACCTGCGTTCCCTCCTTTCATTCCGAAGCCCGGAATCCGGAACCTCTGCTTCCGACCTCGCGCCCGCCCGGAAGAAGATCAAATGCACACTTCCGCTTCCGGTCCGTGCCCTTGGGGCTCCGTGTCCTGTGGGTCTTGCCGTGGCTGCCTGGTCTGCATCCGGGGAACATGGCGGCTGCGGCAACCAGGGGCTGGTGGCGGGGGCTCGTGGGGGCTGTGGCGCGGACTGCGGGTGAGCTGGGGGCAGCCGGCTGAGAACTGGGGAAGGCGAAGTGGCGCGCCGGGCGCAAGGAGTCCCTCGGGCCTCACTCTGCGTTCCTGTACCTTTTATCTCCCCGTGCAGTGGCCGGGCGACCCTCGGCGCTGTTGCTGCCAGTGAGGAAGGAGAGCGCCGCGGCCGACTCGCGCCGTGAGTATGTGCGGGCCGGGCCCTTTTCGGGACTGTAGGCGGGGGCTCCTTCACTCCCTTTGTCAGATGTCTGCCCTTGCCCCGGGATGCCCTTCCCTTCGACCTCCTGGCAAATCTCTGCTCGTCCTTGGAGGCCTGACTGCAGTGATCTTCAGAATCGGGCATTTACTGTGCCCTTAGGCTTCTGTGCTACGACCCTTACTACCTTGGTGCATTTCCCTTTCCACGATTCCCTTTTTTGCTAACTAAACAGCTCTTTGAGAACAGGAACAACCTTTGAGCTTCAGAGAACTGTTAGAATAGTAGTTCACATTAAGTAAGTGCAGATAGTAATGTATGCCAGACGCCTTGCTGAGCGTTTTAGTGAATAACCTTACTTAGTCCTCACATTACTCTTACCATGTAGATAGCATTACGCCCTTCAGGCAAATCAAGAGACAAATCAGAGAAGTAACTTTCCCAGAGTCTCAGACTTAGTGAGTGACAGGGCCGACCTGCCTGCTGCCAAACGCTGAGAACGCTTAATATTATTCTGAAGCCTGTGATATGTGGGTGATTAGTGATTTAGGGTTCCATGAATGAAAGTATGGAGATAAGTTACAATCAACTTAACCCAAATGGAAGCCAGAAGACCTGGCATTACCCCCCTTTCTGGGACTCAGTTTCTCCCTAACTATGCAACAATAAAGGCAAAAAGAGGTTTTAACTAGACAATCTATGAGGGCTCTTTAACCCTGAAGAAGCTCTTAGCTTGAGAAACTGTTCTGAGCCAGGTGTTAAGGAGTTTCAGAGAGGCAAAAGTTATGAGTCTGTCCCTTAAGGAACTAGTCTGGTGGGACATTTCTGGTTTAGCAGAAATGCAGGCACTGTGAAGGAAGAAGCATCTGAGAAGAGGCAGACACGTCAGCTGCAGTAGTAAGAAGAGTCTATGTAGGTGGCAAGTTTCTATCATTTCATATTCCCTGGAAGAAGAACCATCCACTCTCTCCTTTCTCAAAGTTCTGCAGACTCCTGTTAGGAGACTGAACCCCTTACAAGCCCAAGATACCAGGTGCCAGATTGCTGCTGCCATCTCCATTCCTTTGTTAAATATTCCTTCTCCTGGGTCTCCCTGGTGGCGCAGTGGGTCGAGCGCTGCGCTGTGAAGCTGTCCGCAGCCTCTGCAGCGTGGGTTCGATTCCGGCCATCCGGGGAGAAACCCACATGATGCAGCAGACCTCTCCTGACTCGCCTGCTACTCCCCTCAGCAGTGTATTTCAGTCAATCCACCCGTTCTATTCCCCACTCTGTCTTTGGTGAATCCTCTCACCCCCACCCCTCCACACACACACACATCTGGCCTGTACGCCAGGTCTTATATGCATGAATAAATAAATCTTTAAAAAAAATTATATATATATATATATATATATATATATATATATATATATATATGTGTGCCTTCTTCTTCCAGCCACAGTCAGACCCCGGGATGATGTAGCCCACAAGCAGCTCTCAGCTTTTGGGGAATATGTAGCTGAAATTCTGCCCAAGTATGTCCAGCAAGTTCAGGTAATATTCATTGTTGTTTGGTCTGGGTCAAGAAAGAATTGTGTTCTCAGGTGATACGGAATGAGTTAGCCTAGTATCAAAGAAACCATGGACTCCTGCATCCAAATTTGGGCTTCTTTCTCTGCCTTCAACCAGGAGACCCCAGCTGAAGTTAGCTGCCTCCTCAATAACTTTGTTCCTTCTCCCCTCCCCTTCCATGTGTGCAGGTGTCTTGCTTCAATGAGTTAGAGATTTGCATCCATCCTGATGGAGTCATCCCGGTGCTGACTTTTCTCAGGGATCACACTAACGCACAATTCAAATCCTTGGCTGACTTGACAGCAGTGGACATTCCCACCCGGCAGAACCGTTTTGAGGTCAGTCAGGAGATTTGAGACTCTGTGGGGAGTAAAGGAAGGAAAGGGGACAGGACAATTTTAGGGTAATGATTATTTGTGGGAACTGTAACCCCCTTAATTTCAGTTTGCATCAAACAGGGTAATGTAGCTGTCAGAGTAGGGCCTCAAAATCAGGCAGACTTCAAGTTTGAATCCTTGCTCTGCCGCTAATAGGTTGTGTGACGTCAAGCATTTTGTGTAATCTTTTTGAGTTTTAGTTTTCCTTTTTTTTTTTTAAGATTTGTTCATTCATGCATACAAGAACTGGGGTACAGGCCAGAGATTTGGGGGGTGAGAGGGTTCACCAGAGACAGAATGGGGAACAGAACAGGCAGATTGACTGAAATACACTGCTGAGGGGAGCAGCGGGCAAACCAGGAGAGGTCTGCTGCGCCATGTGGGTCACCTCCCTGGCTGGGGATGAAACTTGTGCTGCGGTGGCTGCAGATAGTCATAGTGCTGCGTCTTAACCCTTGTGCCACCAGGGAGGCCCCAAGCTTTCCTATCTTAAGGGCTGGTTGTGAGGATTAAATGAGATAGTATAGGTAGATCGTATAGCACAGACATGCTTAGTCCATATAACTATCAATAATCACGGATCACCTACTGTTTGCCGGATCCTGGGATTAAGAGAGAAATAAGAGCCAATACCTACCTTCCAGGAGTCCCTCCTTCTACTCTAGTGAGGAAGGACACAAAACAACTTACTGTAATAATATGCAAACTTGGGGTGCTAGAAATGCTATAAGAACACAGAAGGGCACTCAGGTATCTGGGAAACTTCTTTGATGGAAAGAGAATAGAACGTTGGTGCTGAGTCTTAATGGATGACCAGGAGACCCGGCATTAGCCCAGTGAGGATTGGGGCTGGGGAGAACATCCCACACAAAGGGAAGAGCTTGAACGAAGATAAGTGTGCTTCCCCTATATTTATAGCAGCACTGTTTACAATAGCTAAGCTTTGGAAACAACCCAAATGCCCAAAAATAGATGACTGGATCAAGAAGATGTGGTACATATACACCATGGAATATTACTCAGCATTCAAAAAAGATAAACACATGCAATTTGCAGCAACATGGATAGCGCTGGAAGGGATCATGCTCAGCGAAATAAGCCAAAAAGAAAAAGAAAAATACCGGATGGTCTCACTCATAGCAGGAATCTAGAAAACTTAAATAAGGGACCAGGAAAATGAATATAAGAAAGTGAAAATCAGAATCAACAAAAAACTATGAAACAGAGACACTTTGGGGGGGGTGGGGGGTGGAAGGGGAGGGATTGGGATCAGAATGGGGGGGGTTGCAATTGTATGGGGAATATAAAAATAAAATTTATTAAAAAAAAAAGATAAGTGTGCTAACGTGCTGATTTATATCCTGGCTGAGGCCTTTAAAAGGAAGTGTAAGTATAGGAGCATCTTGAGGTTTTAAGCTTCAGGACAGAAGGGCAAGTTCGTGGAGTGGAGCCAATAACCAACCTTGTATCCCTGATGCTTCACTGGGTGACTCACTCGCCCCTAATTCCTCAACTTGTGGCTATCTTGGTCCTGCAGCTCCCTCTGTTCTCCCTAGATTGTTTACAACCTGCTGTCTCTGCGCTTCAACTCAAGGATCCGTGTAAAGACCTATACAGATGAACTGACACCCATTGAGTCTACTGTCTCTGTGTTCAAAGCATCCAACTGGTATGAGCGGGAGGTGAGTTACTGGACATGGTTGGCCCTACCTCTAGGCTGGAGTTGGGGAATTGGTTGAAACTACCAGATCTACCAGCTGCAGTGCAGCCCCTCATCTTTGTCGTGGTGTGATGACTGGGTGCCTGAGAGCCTTTTTTTTTTTTTTAAATCTAGATTTGGGACATGTTTGGAGTCTTCTTTGCTAATCACCCTGACCTACGAAGGATCCTGACAGACTATGGCTTTGAGGGACACCCTTTCCGGAAAGACTTTCCCCTGTCTGGCTATGTTGAGGTGGAAACTTTGGAACTGGGGCAGTAGCAGGGAGGGGACAGCTAGAAACCTGCAGGAGCATGAGCTTGGCAGGAAATATGGCCTGTGGGTTGTGGTGGTTTAAGAGTATTGACTCTGCCTGCAAATTCTAGCTCTGCTATTGTAATCTGGGGCCAATTGCTTAGTTTCTCTTTGGCACAGTTTTCTCATCTGCAGAATGAGAACAGTAATTGTACTTAACTGTTAGATTTCTGGTACACTAAATAATGTGTGTGTGTGGTATGGCATATTATAAATGCTCAATTGATGCTAGCCATTGTAATGACCATTTTCATGACCAGGACAGCTGGGGACCTAGTCTGTCCCATGATCCTGAAGTGGACACTCGTTTGACCCTGCCCTGGGTCTCTAAGAAAACAGCTGACAGGCAGGCTCAACTAAATGATGGGGTGTTGAGAATGGCTAGCGTCCAGCCCAATAACATGTGACTACAAGGGCCTTACAAAGAATTCCAGGGCTGTACTGTGCCATCTGCGTGCTGCCTATTGTTTATTAGCAGGAAGATGGTCTGTTCTATACTTAAACACTTGTGATTTTATAGCAAAGTAACTTTTTAGAAATATTAAGAGGGTGGCAGTTAGCCTTTCTCTTCAGTTCCCACATGCTCCTTTTTCTTGGTATTTCCCATTCCCAGCACCTGACTGTCCTTAATTATTAAACTGATTGTCCAATAAGAAAAGCCCTGCCAAGGCCACAGGATCTGAACTTGAGACTTGCCAGTTTAGGTTTACTCTTTAAAAAAAAGCCCACTGACTTGCTCACTAATACTGGGCAAATGCCCACCGCTGCCTTACTTATGAGTGTGTGGATGGGTGAGAAAAGTCATTTCTGCTGGAAAAGGAGCTCAGAGCTCATTTGGGGTGTGGGGGGTGAGGATGGGAACTTAGCCAGTGGTGGCAGGGCGTAAATGACTTTGACTACGCCTGTCTCAGCACTCAAGCCTGCCTTTTTCTTTCGCAGTTACGCTATGACGATGAGGTGAAGAGGGTGGTGGCTGAGCCGGTGGAGTTGGCCCAGGAGTTCCGCAAGTTTGACCTGAACAGCCCTTGGGAAGCTTTCCCTGCCTATCGCCAGCCCCCTGAGAGTCTCAAGCTTGAAGCCGGTGACAAGAAACCCGAAACCAAGTAGTTCAGGGAAAGCATGTGACTCCTTGAAAGCATCTTTTCTATCATTGCCTGTCTGTGTAAATAAAATCTTACTTAGATTCACTACTCTCTGTGTTTATTATGGCTAGAATTGAAGCTTTGACTCAGGACCGGGGAGATGCAGGCAGGGGTTTTTCCCTGCTGCCTTAGAAAGACTACCAAAGTGGGGAATCTTACTTTAATGGAATGAAGTAGAGCATTTGTGGATTTAGTGACCTACCGGCCTGGATGTATTTTTGAGAGAGATTCTGCAGCTGAAACTGAAAGTTCTCATTGTCCACAGAGCTTGGGATGGGCTTGTCACAGCAGACTGGTGGCAGCTAATGGGTCCATGGGCCTGTACAGGACCAGGAAAACCCCCACTCACCATGTTTGTCTTGAGCCCCACATCCTGTTCCCCTGCACTTGAATAACCCATCACATTTGGGCTCAGAGACTCTTTCAGGACTCTGGCCTGAGCTGAGACTGCTGTAAGGCACAAAGGCTGTCTAGGGTTGGGGCAAGACATTCAGGAGCTGCAGGTCTCTTTTCCAGGGGACAGACGCCCTACCTGAGTTCAAGCTGGTGGCTCCTACCAGCCAGCATCCCGTGCATGTGGAGGACCTGGCTTTTCAGCTGAAGCTCTTGGCTACTTAGAGGCTCCCAGAGGTTGGGCTGGACAGGGTGTCAGGGACTGGGCTCTGATGCAGGGTGCTTTGAGGGTGAGGAGAGATGGCAAGATATTTTTGCCTGGACCCTTTCCTACCTCGAGGGAGGAGGGCCAAGCTAGAGCTCTTGCTACCAACTTTTTCCTGTTAAGTAAGCAGCCCGCCCATCTGGGTAGGAACAGGGACGTCCTGACAAGTAGGGAGCAAGGGTCCTACCGGCTAACAAGCAAACATTTCATATTCTTGGGGGGATGGAAAGAGCCCCTGGGAAGCTAGGGCTAGCCCCTCCCTTTTTTACCATTGCAGACAGCAGTGAAAAGCAGGGAACGCAGGAGCAGCCTGCAGTGGAAAGTTCGAGCCCTTTTGTATGGCAGGCAACACGACGTGGTAGGCGTGGCTGGGACACTGCAGTTCAGTGAGGGAGGGCCTGCGGGAACGGAGATGCAGGAAGCAATGTTTGAGGGTTTTTTCTTCAACCTGAGACACGGGAGTGGAAGTGTCCAAAAGCCCCTAAGCTCAGGGTTAGAAAGGGAGGGGGACAACCCAGCATGGGTCTGCTTATGCCCCCCGGGGCCCACTCTTGTTCCCTTCCCTGCTCCCCAGAACCCAGCACATCCCTCAATTGGTTCCCCTTCCTTACAGCTGCTCTGGGCTGGAACTGGATGACATGGGACAGCTGTACATCCGGGACCAAGAACTGGTGTCCACATATCCAGGCTGCCAACGCACTCTGGGACCTGTGTAAGGACTTTGTCCCCAGGGCCAGCCCCCTTCTCTGTGGCCCTGGGCCTCCACCCTTCACCCTAAACTCTCTCACTGCCAAACCCCCACCCCACACCCTGGTCAGACTCATCCCAGGCAGGAGCTTCCATCTGGCACCTGGCACCTGGTTCTTCCCACTGTGTGCAGGTCTGGTTTTTACCCTGGACCCCAGTTTACCCCTCTCCCATCTTCTTCAAGGGGCTGCATCCAGCCTGACTCCCAGGCAGGACTTGCAGGCAGTGTGTGTGTGTGTGTTTACTGGGGTCAGGGTTGGGTTTAAGATATACTGACAGAGAAGCTGCCTCCGAGTAAAGTCAGGTCAGATCCCCCAAGTCCTACCTCTGCAGGTCCTGTGAATCTACAGAAACCCTGTAAGTGCTTAGCACCCAGTCCTAATTTACATTAAACTTGTTTAAACCCAAAGCTCTGGGGTCCCTGAGTTCCCATTTTGGGCTAGACTGGACATCTGGAGGTGTGGAGGGGAGCAGGTGGTGCTTTGCCTTTTGGGGAGACTGGGGCGAGAAGTCTTTGGTCCCTCTCGACGACGACGCTCAGATGAGCATCTTTGAGTGAGTGTGGCTGGGAAGGGACTAACCCAGGCTGGCTGGCATAGCCCGGATCCCATATAGCTCCTCCCATAAAACGCTCTGTTCTGGCACCCTTGTTGTCTGTGTTCTACATCCAGAAAAAGGGCTTTGACCCCTGGCCTGAGCAAATAACCCTCCCCATCGAGGGAGGGTGGGTGTCAGGGCAGCTAGGGTATCAACTGCTCATCCCATTCACACCCCCCACAATAAGAAGGCAGGGAGGTAGCACGCCCCCGGTGAGGTAGCCAGGCATCACCTGGCCCCAGGAGAGACGACTCAGCCAGGCCCCAGGAGAGACGTAGCAGGCGGCCCGGGCAGAGCTAGAGGAAAGGGGCCAAGAAGAGAGGCCCTCCCTGGCTTAGGGCGGTGGGCTTCCCCCATCCCCCACCTCTTGGCATAATCCCGCCCTCCGCCCACGACCCCCGCTGGGGCCAGCGGTACAGCCTCCCTCCGGGCCCCAGACCAAAGCGGCGGCGCGCGGCCAAGACAGAGCTCAGGACCCCGGGAGACAGGGGAGACAGGCGCCGACGCGGGCCCGCTTTATTCGCAGAGTCCGCGCTGGGCAGCCCCGGGCTCCTGCCGGGTCGGGGCTCAGAGCTCGGGGGGCCGCAGGCCGGGGGGCCCGGCGGGGGCGAGGTCGGGGTACACCAGGAAGCCGGAGAAGGTGATGTATTTGCCGTGGTTGCTGTAGGCGCCGTAGCCGTCGTGGTCGTGGCTGAGCAGCCAGACGGCGTCGCCGCGGCGCAGCGCCAGCATCACGCTCTGGCTCTGCATCTCGCGGCGCCGCGACGCGCCGTCGTCATAGATCATGGCCTGCACCTCGTCGCGGTTCTTCATCAGCTTCACCGACAGCGTCTTGCGCGGCAGCTTGCCCAGCGTGAAGGAGAAGAAGTAGGCGCCGGGCAGGCGGCAGCGGAACACGCCGGCCGCCGCGTCGAAGTCGCCCCCGATGTTGACGAGCTCCGTGTCGAAGCCGAGCGGCCGGTGGCGCGGCCCGGGGCCCGCGTCCGACCCCACCAGACTGCGCGTGCGCGCCGCCGAGAAGGCCGAGCGCGGTTCCGGGGGCGCGGGCGGCGCGTGCGCAGGCGCGGGCGCGGGCGCGTCGGCGTCGGCGTACACCAGGTAGCCGCTGAAGGTGGCGCCCGGCGCGCCCAGCGCGTACTGCGGGGCGCCGTGCAGCCGCAGCCACACCGTGTCGCCGTAGTCGAGCTGCAGCATGGCGCTCTGGCTGGCGGCGCGCCGCGCGCCGGGCCGCCGCTGCTCGTCGAAGGCCAGCGCCTGCACCTCGTCGCGGTTGCGCACCAGCATCACCGACAGGCTCTTGCGCGGCGCCTTGCCCGCCGTGAAGGAGAAGAAGTAGGCGCCCGGCACGCGGCAGCGGAACCGGCCCGTGGCCGCGTCGAAGTCGCCCCCGATGTTCACGTACACCTTGTCGAAGGTCACCGCCATCTCCGACGAGCCCTCCAGCGGGGTGGTGCGCGCCGCCGAGAAGGCCGAGCGCAGCTCCGTGGAGCCGGCCGCGGGGCCCAGGGCCCAGCCCGGGGTCGGGGCCAGCAGGCCCAGCAGGAGCAGCAGCATGGCGCCTGGAGGGGAGGCAGAAAGAGAGGAGGGCTGGGCCAAGGCGTGCCCGGGGCTGGGGGGGGGAGCCAGTTCTCGTCTCAGCCCTGCCCCAGACCCCAGCTGGGGCGCCTACATTCGTCGACGAGGTCGGTGCTTCTCCAGCGTCAGGGGCGCGTGGCACCGTTAGGGCTTGTTCACACGCACATTGTTGGCTGCACCCCCAGAGAGTCTGTTCAGTAGATCTAGGATGAGGCCTGAGAATTTGCCTTTCGAACAAGCTCCTGCCTGTAGCAGGTGCTGCCGGGCCGGGACCACACCTGGGGAACCGTTAGCTTAGGCCAGTGATTCTCCAACTTTTTTTTTTTTTAATAAGGACCAGAACCCCATCTTCCAGTAAAGGTTCTCACACGTATGCCACAGATACAAGCAGACACGCTCTGCCAGAAGCACCCTGGGCCCTAGAAACAAAAGGGGTGTTCATGGGGTGTCTGGGACCCTCAGCCTCCAGTGTGCTGCCTTTCCCTGTGGCTGTTCTGTGGCCCTTGGTTGGCCCTTTGTGCATCACTGGCTCTCTGGATGCATGTCCTCCGTGATGGCCACTGTTTAAGCTCTCATCTGGGCAGGAAAGGAAATGGTGGTTCCCTGACCCCTTGCTTGGCCTGACACAGGGTCAGCTCCCACCTCTGAACTCCCCAGGGTGCCTTCTAGCATTAAGGAGGCCAGCACAGGGGCTTTGAGGTCACTCCCTGCAGCCATGAAATCGGAGTAAGAGAAAGTGCTTTGAGCTTGGAGGCTAGTCACTGAGAGGAAGGAGAGAGCCAGAAGCTGCTGGGGTGGAGAGGGAGAGCAATATTCCCCGCAGGGCTCCAGAAAAACTGAGGTCAGCAGCTTTGTTCCTCGGAAGCCGTGGAGTGGACAGAGCTGACAGACCAGTTACATGCTGTGAAACCTTAAGCAATTCCTTCTCTGGGCATGGCTTCCTCTGTGTAAACGGGGAGACCTGCCTCACATGCTTACTGGGAGGATGCTCTAAGAGCAGGTGTGAACAGGATTTATGAACTGCAGTGCCATCCAGGTGTGCAGACACTGTGCCCTTGAGAAAAGCAATCTCATCAATTTCTTGACATAAGAGGTTAGGGACTCAATAACTTCTACCCCTGGGAGCTTGGCCGTTAGACTTAAAGGAGTTACTCTCCACTGGTGGAATTCCATCCTGTTTCCTAGTAGGGCGCAGGCTTTGGGGCTGCAACACCCAAAGACTCTGCAGTGGAGACAAAGAAGGAAAGAAAATAAGCTGGCAACAGCCTCGGAGGTGGGTTTTTACAGGAAACGTGGGTTTGGAGGCTGCTGAGAGGGTTGTTGGGCAGTAGAGCAGATGCGCCCTACACCCTGAGGGTGCTGTCTACTGCACCCTCGTGTGAAGGTTCTCACACGTATGCCACAGATACAAGCAGACACACTCGGCCACAAGCACCCTGGGCCCTAGAAACAAAAGGGGTGTTCGTGGGGTGACAGACCTTCAGCCTCCAGTGAGCTGCCTTTCCCTGTGGCTGCCCTGTGGCCCTAGGGAAGGTGTCTCTTTTTCTAATTCTCATAATAAAGACCACGAGTCCCTAGACCAGCTGAACGCTCTCCCTGAGGAGGAGGTACCCTCTCTAATTCTCACAATGGTCCCCTATGAACATACCTTGGTGAGGGCAGCGAGTATTTGGTGATCCCCTTTTACAAAGCTCTTTGGACGTTCCTGCGAGACTGTTCGGCCCTCCCTTTCCCATTTCATAGACGAGAAAGCCAAGATTCAACAAACGGAAACATTTGGGTCCAAGGCCATGGAGCATTGAGGCAAGGCTTGCACCCAGGTCTATTGCTGCCAAATTTAGGGTGCCTTCTGATCCACCACCTTCCCCTCCTAAACGCAGGTGTTTCTAGCCAACCTGTCCTCTGCCTCGCGTGTGTGTTGTTGTAACAGAGTGACAACTGAGTCTCGGAATCCAGGGTGAAAGGGAAAGTAAGCAAAACTAAACAACCAGACAAACAGCAGCTCTAATGTTCAGCCTTCGGGGAATAGGGAGCTGCAAACTTCCTGACCCTGCAGCTTTCCTGGCAGGTCTTGCCCAGGAGCACCTGCCCACCCTGCCTGCGGCCATCTCCCTGCAGATTTGGTGTACCGGCCGGCGCGGGAGGGTCTCCTGCTCGTCCAGCCTCTGTTTCCTCCCTCTCCCCGCCCCCCACTACCCATTTCCTCCATCCTTGGGTCTTTGCCTGAACCCCCTTCCCTGAGCGGATGGGAGGTGGGAGGGTGACAGGTGGGCAGCATCGCTCCAGGGAAGGAAATGGCTGTTCCCAGCTCTGTCCAGGTGGGGCTCAAAATAGTCATCTTCAAAGAGGAAAAACTGGGACACAGAGCTGGGCGGACTCAGAGCCCCAGAACCCACAGGGGAGGCGCAGCCATGCGGGCGATGGGCTCTCAGAGCCCCCTAGTCACCCCCCCTCCCCACCTACCTTGAAAGCCCACCGCAAGATTGGCCCCGCTTTCACCAAGAAACCAATTCATCCTATGGGGGGAAAATGCCCTCACAAAGGGGTACCCCAGCCCCTCTCGCCTGCAGACCTTCCTGCATCCATCCCCTTGGAGTAAAAGCCCTTGAGCCTCTTTCATGAAAAAGCTCCCAGGTCCCCTTTCAGGGCAGAAGGACCCGCCTGCCCCGCGCTCCCGCGGCCCCGCTGACCACGAAGGGGACGCCTCGTCGCCCGCCCCCGAGCCGCCCTCACCTGCCTCGGACGGCGGGCGGGTCGGCTTCGCTCCGCGCCCGCGGTGGGCGCCGGGCTCCGGGTTGGCGGCGGGCGGGCTCCGGGCTGCGCACTGGCCGCCGGCGCTGCGGCGCGGCCGGGCCTGGCGGGGACGCCGGGGGCTCCTCCGGGACCCGAGGCTGGGGGCGGGGGCTGGGCGCTGCGCCCCGGGGTGGGCGCGGAGCCGCGAGGCGCGGGGAGGCGCGAGGGAGCGAGGACCGCTGAAGAGCGAGCAGCCGACGGATGGGCGGAGAGGCGGGGAAGAGGCGGGAAGGGGAGAGGGGGAGGGGAGGAGAGCGGGAGGGGCGCGGCGCGGAGGGGGAGCCGCGCCGCCGGGCCCGGGGGCACCGCACGGAGGCGGCCCTGCGCAGGCTGCACCGAGCCCGGCGCCTTCCTCCCGCGTGAGCTCTTGGAGCTGCAGCCTCTGCCCCTAGAGCGCAGGCTTCCACCATACCCGAGGGGGAAACTGAGGCCCGAGAGGGGAAACAGAGAGGCCCGAGGCACAGGCAAAACTGGGGGTGACCCAGGGCACCCCACAGATGGGCCTCCTCTCTGGCTTAAGGACAGAGAAGTGGAGCGGGTCGGGAGACTGGACTAGCCCCGGGCTGCAAGGACAGAGGAAGGTGAGCGCTTGGCTGGAACAGATGTCCAGGCTGATGGCACGGGGGAGGGGCGGAGGGGAGAGAAGGAGAAACTGGCCCACGTTGCCAGTCCCCTCTAGTCGTGAAGGGCCAGGAGCAGGGCAGGAGGAAGACCCCCCCCCCCATGCATCAGAGGCTCCTGGCGAGGGGCAGGAGGGAGGGAAGGCCTCGGGCCAACATTGAGTTTGGGCTGGAAAGGCTGTTCCCAAAGCACCTGGGAACAGGGAAGGGCTGAGAGGGACACCCGACCCCTCCAAGGACCTGTGATTACAGAGGGGCACTCACGCCCTATGCCCAGGGGGCCGCGGTGGCAGAATCCAGAGCACATGGGACTGGGAACCGCCGTCTTCCCGCCTGAGTGCTCACCGGAGGCCCGGAACGTGGTCTTCCTCGTCAGGACCCCTGCGGCCTTGACAGCTGTGGAGGTGACCGCCAGCCCCTCACTCTAGACGTGGATGAGTTGATGGCTTGTAAAAGGTCCCCCTCTGGGCTGCCAGGAGCTGGTGTCCCTCCATCTCCCCCTGCTTGACTGGTGGTGTCAGAACCTCCGTTACAGACCTCGGTGTGGTCCCTGAGAAGCCTGGTGCTCCATGAAAGCCCCTTCCTTCTGGAACTTTCCTTTTGGAATTCTCAAATCTTATGTGAGACCTCAGTTAAACAGGGAGTAATCTGCATGAGGCTGTGGAGGATGACTGGTTCATTACGTTTTCTTGAGGATTAGGTGAATGATGAAATGAATGAATATGTACCTTAATGGAAAGGAAAAATGGAGACATTCCAGATTGGGCAAAGGGGGTATTTGAGAACATTAGGTGAAGCACCTGTCTAGCCCCTATCAAATCACAGCTGTCTCCTAAGCCAGCTTTAATAACTCTCTGGGGAGGGTGTGTGGCAGGGTGAGGGTGGGCTGAGCCGCACAGGGATGCACCAGGAAGGCAGGGAAGGGCAGGAAGCTGACCTGTGGCAGCCATGCCACTTTTTAGGGGCTGGACCTCTACTTTCTTTTTTTGGATAACAAATTAAAAAAATTGTTTAAAGGGCCTCTCCTGGTGGTGCAGTGGTTGAGCGCTGGGCTGCGAAGCTGCCACAGCCTCTGTAACACCGGTTCAATCCCCGGCCACCAGGCGAGGGTCCCACATGGCGCGCAGACCTCTTCTGCTGTGCCCGCTGCTCCCCTCAGCAGTGTACTTCGTCAGTCTGCCTGCTCTGTTCACCGCTCTGGCTCTGGTGAATTCTCTCACCCTCCCGCACTTCTGACTGTACCCAGTGCTTGTATAAATAAATAAAATAAATATTTAAAAAAAATTGTTTAAAAATTTTCTTTGCTTTTTTGTGGTTAATTTCTGCAAAAAGATGTTTAAATTTGTATTTGAGATTGAACAAGTTGCTTTATACAGACTTAAGCACGTTCATCAATTCGTATTTTACAACAAAAATATCCTTTTGCTAGCATCACATGTAATTTCAGCTGAGAATGACATTTTTCTCTAATTGCCCCCAGCAGTAAATAGATATTGATAGATGGGGACTGAACCTCTTCTGCACCAGGAGGGAGGGGCCGCCATCTTGAAGGTGCCTTTCGAAGGCTTGTTTCCAGCAGTGA